TCTCCCTCCCTCTGTCCACCTTCCCTCTCCCTCCCTCTGTCCACCTTCCCTCTCCCTCCCTCTGTCCACCTTCCCTCTCCCTCCCTCTGTCCACCCTCCCTCTCTCCACCTTCCCTCTCCCTCCCTCCACCTCATGCTATCTGGGTCTCCCTCCAATTTCTAGGTCCTGTTTGAGATTTTGCTCTTTCTCTTCCCCTCTCTGGGCCTCCCTGTCACCACTCTGTGCATCTCTAGATCCCTGTCCTTCAACCCAGAGCTCTGTCTCTGGACCTCAGTGGCAATCTCTGAATTTCTCTCCTCCCTCAGGTCAAAAAGTTATCATACCTGGGAGGTCCCTCTGAGTGGCCGAACTACCCCAGGATGTATAACTGAAGTCTATTTCCTCAATTTTATCCCTGACCCTCTGAGTCAACCCCATTTGAAAATGACAGCCTTTGCTGATCTCTGCATATTGGTCTGCCAGGGAAGGACTGCTGGTCCACAACACTGTTCAGAATCCCCCATCTCCCTTGGCCAAAATATCTGGCATCTACCAGTGGGGCTGTGGCATGAGGGTGTGAATCTCAGGAAAGGAATCTGAGTCATGTGGCCCTGCAGCCGTAGTATGCTCAGAACAGAGGTTCTCAAAATTTAATATGCTTCAGAATTCTACAGAGGGCTTGTTAAAACATAGTTGCTGGGCCGAGTTTCTGATTCAGTCTAGGGTGGGGCTCAAAAATGTGCATTTCAAACAAGTTCCCAGGTGATGGGTATGTGGCTGATCCAAGGCCACATTTGAGAAGCTTTGCTCTAGAAAAGTATAAGTGGCCCTTAGGCCAGGCGCAGTGGCGCACATCTGTAATCCTAGCTACTCAGGAGGCTGAGACAGGAGAGTCGCTTGAACCGGAAGGCAGAGGTGGCAGTGAACCGAGATTGCACCATTGCACTCCAGCCTGGACCACAGAGTGAGACTCTGTCTAAAAAAATAAAGTAAGTGGCTCTTGGTTAGCTGCATGTTGGAATCATCAGGAATTTGAAAAATTACTTAGTGAGGTGTGGTGATACACATATGTAGTCCCAGCTACTCGGGAGGCTGAGGCAGGAGAATCACTTGAATGCAGGAGGCAGAGATTGCAGCAAGCTGAGATTGTACCACTCCACTCCAGCCTCCAGTCTGGGCAACATAGAGAGACTCTGTCTCAAAAA